CTATTAGTGTCCCTTAGTTCATTAAAAAGGAAGGTTTGTGCTAATATCAATTGGAGAAATTTCTGTGCCTGATTCTTGTACCCTGAGCAATTGCTTTAAAGATAACGTGCAATGTATTAATTATTGTTATTCTCCTATTATTTTGTTATGAAATTTTATTTTACCTGTTTTCATAAAATAAACAGAATTAAAAATATATTTCAATATATATGCTAACTGGTTTCATAGTACTAGTTTATCTTAATTTGTTGAAAATAAAGATTTGTGTTATCTGTTTCTTTTTTGTGTGAATCTTTTTGGTTTATGTCTTTTTTTTTTGAGACAGGAGCTCATTATGTAGTTCAAGCTAGCCTTGAACTTACTATGTAGCCCAGGCTGGTCTCAAACAGTAGTCCTCCTGCCTCAGCCTCCCAAGTACTGAGATTACAGGTGTGTGCCACCACGCCTGGCTTGTTTTTGTCTTGTACTCTGAGTAACTACTTTGAAGATAAGAATACAGAGTTTAAAAACTATTGTTATTCTCTTGTTATTTGATTATGCAATTCTGTTTTATTTTTTCATAAATATTTTTAGCTCAACAATTTATTTGTATTCTTACATGTGATTTATACATAAAAGCTTCTTATGGTTCACATAGCTTAACAGTAGACTAATTTAAATCAGTTGGTAAGAGTAAAGTTATTTTTAAAGTTGGAGACATGTTTCCATTCAAGTTGTTAGCCAACCAAAATGATATCAAAAACTGGTTTTATAAATACAATGCCTATAGTTGTCTGTATATAACTTCAGAGTTTTCCTTGGTCAAAAGATAACATACATAACTTAAAAGGTATTAACTGTTACAATTTGTTTCTTATAAGTTATCAAAGATAACTGGTAAGGTAAATAAGTAGGGACCCCTTGGGCTTGGAAAATTTATGGCCCAAGACTTCCCTCTGTGGATAAAAGAACAGCTATCTGAACCAATTTGTTCAATTTTGTCCACAGATGAAACTTTCTGGGGTTTTTCCCCCAAAGTCTTACAGTGTCACACCCCAACAATTATTAAATACATTATTGTAATATATTTAAATTGGATATAATGACAAGGTTAAATTCTCTATGTCTAAAACACTAAGGCTTTCTTTTTTTTTTTTTTTTTTTTTTTTTTTTTTTTTTTTTTTTTTTTTTTGGTTTTTCTCTGGTACCAGGAACCGAACTCACGACCTTGCGCTTGCCAGGCAAGCGCTTTTGCCGCTGAGCTAAATCCCCAGCCCCTGCTTTCTTAAGATATTAAGATGCTGTTGGTGGGGCTGGGGATTTAGCCCAGCGGCAAAGCGCCTGCCTGGCAAGCGCAAGGTCATGAGTTCGATTCCTGGTACCGGAAGAAAAACAAAACAAAAACAAAAACAAGATGCTGTTGGGTAAGTTTAGGAAATTCAATTTAAAAGCAAGGATCCTATATTGTACTTTGGTTTTTATGTTTTCCATTGTTAAACTTTTGGTTACAAACAATAGAATAGCTATAGTTAACAGCTGTTCAGGGTACAAGAATTAGGCACAGAAATTTCTCCAACTGATATTAGCACAAACCTTCCTGGTTAAAGCTGACTTTTAAGCAGGCGTAGTGGTGCATGCCTGTAATCCCAGCACTTGGGTGGCTGAGGCAGCAGGATCACCATGAGTTCAAGGCCAGCCTGGCCTACATAGTGAGTTCATGGCCCAGTTGAACTATATAGTGAGACCCTGTCTCAAAAAAACAAAAAAAAGTTGACTTTTAAAAGTTAAATCAGTGCTGGGCATGGTGATGCATGTCTGTAATCCCAGTACTGGGGAGGCTGAGGCAGGAGCAGTGCTGTGAGTTTGAGGCCAACCTGCACTACCTAGCGAGACCCTGTCTCAAACAAAACAAGAAAGTTAAGTCAAATGTTGCCTTATAACTTATTTTCAATAACATTTTATAAAAGGTTAAACAACTATTGTCTTAGGTTATGATATAACCTATATACCTAAAAACAAGATATGCTATAGAGTCTAAGATTTAAACTTAAGTTTATATAGTTAAAATTGAGTTTAATACATACAAAATAACATGGTTGTTCTCTTTTATACATTATGCATCTAGTCTTTAACATATAAAATGACCAAAATTTAACATCTTTAAGTTGGTTCCTAACATTTAAAACTTGACCTGTATCTACTGGCTTTGATTAAATAAACATTTTGTTACTGTACAAACTAAACAACAGAGCTGAGAGAGCCTTGGACTATTTACACATGTAGGTGTGGGAGAGTGTAGCCTCCCCTGTACCTTGCCCTAAGCATCCCTTGCATCTGGCCATTGTAGAGCTGTTTTCTCTACACTCAACTGTTAATAGTAAGCACGAATCAAAAAAAAAAAAAAAAAGAGGCAGTATTACATGTACTGATATGGAATACTTTCCAAGATGTATTATTAGTTAAAAAAAGCAAATGAAGCCAATGTGAGAAGAGTTCTACCCAGAATAGAACGCATTTCCATGCACAGAACAGCTCTGTAGGGTTTCAGAAGACAACTGATAAAAGCGATCTCTCTGTGGAGGGGAAATAAACGGCTTTGGGACAAGAATAAAAGGACACTTAATGGCGAGGGGAGAAGGGTTGAAGGGAAGGTAGGGAAATGGGGGAAAAAAGGTTATATACAGGTACAAATTCTCTATGATGAATGTGATCATTATGTATATCTAAAATGTACCAATAAAATCTTACTTTAAAAAGGCAGACTTAATTTTCAGTGAACAGCACTTTTTTATCATGTTCATATCTCTATAAAGATAAAACTTTCTATGAAAAAGGATCTACAGGGCAGAGTGATGTCTGCAATATATTAAGAATAAAAAGTTGCAAAGTATAATCTGAAGAGGGAAGACCCAATGTAATCTGTGCAATATAATCTCATTTATGTTAAGGCACTAAATAAAACCAAGAAGTATGGATAAAAAATAGACTTAACAATAGCAAGCTATTTTTGAGTTGTGTGCTGGCCTCGCAAATTATCAAACTTGGCGGGGGAGGGGTGTCTTAGGAACCTGATTTGTAGCTGTCTGAAGGGTGGGTAACCGGGATCAAATGCTTGCCAACTGCCAACTGAAGTGAAGGCAGTCTTGTGTAACTGTGACCAGATGGAGGGCCCCCTGGTGATTTTTTCCAGGTTCTTGGTGTCCTGAATAAAGAACTGGGATGAGACACACACACGAGAGCACATTTACTGAAAGCAGAAGAGGTACCCTCTGCAGGGAATAAGCAGGCTGGGGATCAGACACATAGAGACCCCAAGGATAAGGGAAAGGATCCTCCTGTATCCAAAATTTCTGGATTGGCTTCTCCTGCATGCAAATAAGGTACTGGTATAGTTTTCCTACCAAAACCTCACTTGGCCTGAACCCAGATTTAAATTGCCCTATCGAAAGACAGGCTTGGCTTCCCACCAGATCTAAGTAAAGGGCTGAGATACTGCTGATTGGTACCATGTACGGTGCGCAGGAGCTATGCAGTCTTTTGGGGCCCTATGTTCCGCACAGCCTCTGGATTTTCATGACTTTGACATATTCCACCCAGTTAGCTCTCCGGTTTGCCTCAGCCCTAATCCATCTCAAGACCGAATCCTAAAACCTGTGGAGTCTTACGCTAATGCTTGTATCTTAATTAATTTTTCATTACTGGGCCAGACCCCATACCCACAAATTAAAGGAAGAAATGTTTATTTTAGCTCAGTTTATAGAGGTTTCAGTCCATAGTGGGCTGGCTCCAAGGCAGGGTGGCCTGGAGAGGAGAAACAGTTCAGGGCGTGGCAGACAGGAGGAAGTCAGACTTCCTTCTTCATTCCCTTTTTATTCCGTCCAGGCTACATAAGCCTATTGGTTGGTGCTCCTCAGAGCCAGCGTGGGGCTTCCCTCTTCAGTAAATGCATCACCACACCCAGAACTATGCCAAACCAACCAGTAGACTGATCCAATATCTCAGTCTCATGATCCATTCGCCCCCAAAAGCCTCTTTGACTCCATGAGACTTTGGGGGACATCTGGATATAAGCCGTAACAGCTGGGCAGTGTCAGTATGGTATGACACTGGTTGGTAACCACAGAAAATTGGAGAACTGCTTCGTGTGGAAAACCTCCACACATTTGGTGTTAGAAGCAGTTGCAGTAAAAATAGCTGTGTGCTATAGTGGCTTTTCACTAGGTAATACAAGGTTAAAAATCTTTTTCATGCCTTGTTGTATCACCATGGGCAGGTCAGTCTCATTGAGCCTTAGAAGTTTCCTAAAATGAAAAATGAAAATGCTAGTTCTATCTTAAAAAGGATTATGGCAAGGATTAAATGAGAAGCCCACATAAAGTACTCAATGCACAGTACATATCTGATAAGCAATTCCCCGTTTCTGGCCACAGAAACACAGAGTGCTACGCTGCACTTTCATGTTCCAAAGTGCGGATGAAATGCTTTTCCTGTTTACAACCCAAAGACAGGATGTAATAGTGTGTGTCAAAACAGACAAGCAGACAGCTAGTTTGGAGAAGAGGGGCACATGTTTAATGGTGAGAGAATGAATTAATGGTCAGCAAAGTGACCTAGGGCAGGCAACCAGTGAGGACGAAAGCCAGCACAGGTACCTTCTGTGTTAAGGTGAAAGCATAAGCCGTAACGGGGATGTTTTAGATTTGGAATGTACAGTGTACAAGCTCTGGCCTAAACTAACAGGTTTCCATATGCATTTTCCAGTATCATCTCCGTAAAAGAAAGTAAATGGAAAAGAAAACACTGGAGCAAAGTAACTTTAATGTTCTTATCTGAGTTGTGGTATATACAAAGGTAATCCCTTTCAGAGTAAAACAGCCAGAATAATTTTACAACAAACTTCAGGCGGGGCATGATGGTGTATGCATGTAATCCCGGCATTCTGAGAGGACAGGGCAAGAAGATCACAAGTTCAAGCCCTGGACAACACAGCATCTTAGCAAGACCCTTTTTCAACAGAAAAAATGAGTTTAAGCCCTAGTACCACAAAAAACAAAACAAAAAACCCCACAGTATGCCTAAAAAAAAAATACCCAGAAATATTCAAGTGAAGAAATATTGACCTGATGCCCAGAAAACCATGTATTGGTGGAGGGGGAATAGGAGCTAGAAGGCAGAGGCAGAACTTGCTTTATGAGAGTTTTCTTGCTTAAGCACAAATGCTTCATGCCGCCAAAGAACACAAATAAGGAAACAAAAATGGACTCGTCTTCAGTTCCACTTTAAAAATGCAATAAACAGACGGGCATGGTGCACACCCGGAATGCCAGCACTCGGGAGACTAAATCAAGAGGTTTGTGAGTTCATGGCCAGTCTGGGCTACAGCAGGACTCTATCTCAAAAATATGAATAAAATCCCCGTAAAACCACAACAAATAGATGACAACATTTTCAAGTGTTGCTAAGTTGCTTATACAAACTCAAAGTCATTAGCATGACTTCAGGATCCGAACTTTTTATGTCAAGCGCTTTAACCAGGCAGTTTAAGGCCTCCTGTATTTTTCCACACTCTTTCAGTTCTCTGCCTCGAGTTATGAGAGTCTCATAGTCATCTGCAGCCTCCACTGACTTATCCTGGGGAGAATCAAGCATGGGGCCAGCAGACAAAGGGTCAGGGGCACCAGGAGAAGTCTGCAGGTTAAAGCTTGGTGGCTTAGACGTAGTTAGCCCAACAGACTTATTTTCTGAAGACAGCCTTTCTCCAGAAGGGTCTCCTGTGTTCTCTGAAGCTCTGTCACTGCTGTCTTCTGCTCCTTCCTCCAGATCATCTTCAGTGCCCTCTGCCTTGCTGCTGCTGTCAAGTCTTTCCTCCATATCCTCCACATGGTCTAAAACCACATTAATCAGAGACCTTCTAGAAGCTAGAGATCTCCTCGGGTTTATAGACTTATTTACACTATCAGGTATTTTAGGTGAAAAGAATCTTCCAGGTAAAATGTCATCTTTGGGAGTAGAAGCATCAAACTGTTTCTCTGATGAGAACTGAAAGAGAGACGTATGGAATGGACTTGTGCTTGAGGTATCTTTAATAGAATCATCCTCATCTTCATCATCTGAAACAATCCTCCTAGCTTTGCTTCTGCTTTTAACACCAACTACCACTTCTTCTGGGTCTTTGTCTTTCTTAGAAGAATCCAAACTGAGACATGCTTTGCTGTGCACAGACTCTGCCCTAGAACTAGCCGCAGAGCCACACAAGTTATTTTCTTTCTCAACACACTCCAAAGACTGAGTGGAGAGATTTTGTGTATTGCCTTCAGAGTCTTCCAGGCAAAGATTGAAGTCACACGCATACTGAAGTGAAGATGCTAACGGTTCCCCGGCTGACTTGGCTTCATTTGTTTGGGCGTCCTGCAGGACACTATGGGATGCCGGCGATTCATCAGATACTTCAATAACAGATACATTTAATTTTATGGCTTGACTTTCATTTGTTATGGGATTGGTGGGCCATGGATCGCAGTGATATAAGTCCTCATCATCCTGTAGATCTAGACTTGGTGCGCGATCATCTCTGACTGATTGGCTAGCTAAATAATCAAAACTTCCCAGGGGATTCTCCTGCTGTGCCTCTTGCTCAGACTCTTCTTGTAATGACTCCTGCAGAGCTTTGTTTTCAGTTGCAAAGCTTTTTGCAGTTTCCTGTAATGAGGCAGTCCAAATTTCTTCCATACTCCCAAACTCCCTGGGTAAAGTAGCTACGGAGTCGGTATGAAATGCATTTTCACAGGAGCGTGTACCATCTTGCAGCATGGTCGTATGCGTATGTACACTGGAGAGGTCTTGATCATCGATATTTACATTTGCCATTTGAAAACTGAGAGCTTCTTCCTGGGTAGGATGAGTAGTTATAAGAGATGAAGGCCAACGTTGTGGTTTCTTCAATTCAGGGCATTTCTTTTTTGTTTGAGAAGAAAACAGAGGCGCTAACGGCCAGGCCCCCTCATTTCCAGTTCTTTGTTTTTCCACTGTATTTTGAGACTCAAATTCAACAAGGAATTGAGCTTTCTGAACTCTCTGTTGAATATACTGAGATTCTTCTATGACATCAAGCTCTTCTTTAATGGACAGATCATGTGTATATATCAAGTCATGGTCTGAGATTCCAGCTATTCCCAGAGAGTGTAGGTAGGTAATGTGTTCATCGAGGGTCTTATCAGATCTCCTCTGAGCAGCATGCAGAGACTGGAGCTGCAACTGAGTTGCAGAGTTCTGGAGATCCTCAATCGTAAAGAGCTCCCTTAACTCTTGTTTATTGAAATAGCGGAATGGGTTCTTCTTATCACCAGTAGTTTGTCTAATTAATGAGCCCTTGAAAACCTGTCTTCTATATATTTTTTCTTCTACAGTCCCACAAGTGATTAGCCTATAAACCACAACATTTTGTTTTTGTCCAATTCGGTAAACTCTATCTACAGCTTGAGCATCAGTTGCGGGGTTCCAGCTAGGGTCAAAAATAACCACTCTAGTTGCTGCAGTTAATGTTAAGCCAACACCACCTACTTGAGTGGTAAGCAGAAAAACAGAGTAATCTTTATTTTGCTGGAATAAATTAATTCTTTTTTCTCGTTCCAAAAGATGAGTAACTGTGCCATCAATTCGCAATATCTTAAAATGCTTATTCCTTAAGAGTTGTTCAATGATGTTTAGAATTTGTCTTGATTGAGAAAATACCAGAGTTTGATGCCCTTCATCTCGCAGTCTCTTCAGCAGGGCCATTAAGAATATCATCTTTCCAGATTCTTCCGTCAATGTATCATCAGTTACATGAGAAATGTCATCCATATCTGAGGAATCGTCCTCATTTCCATCCTGAGCAGAGATTTTAGCAGTCTTTAGATGCAGCAAATGACAAGCCCGTGTGGACAGCAGCCTAGGGTGATCACACAGCTTCTTTAAGACTCCTAGCTCAGCCAAAGGTGAGCGTGTCTCCAGTAACAACTCCTTGATGTGATCTAAAGATACAAATTTCCTGTATATTTCTTCTTGTAAAGGTACAAGACGTATCCAAATGATTAAATCATTTTTCCTAGAAAGAGAGGGCATTTCGCAGATGGCATCACCACCTGAATTCTCTTCAGTGGGTCTGACTTCTGGGATGTTTGACTTTCTCTTCTGTACTACTTCTTTAGTCCTCCTAAGAAAATAGGGTTTTATGATTTCCATTAAGTTTTCAGACATTTTAAGTCCCAAGGCTTTTTCCCCTGGAGTGGCATCCTTCTCTCTTGCTCTAACAATAGGATTTTCATACTCCGTTTTAAAAGTTTTTAATGTCCCTAGCAGGGACCCGTGGCAAGCAAAATCAAATAGGGACCATAGTTCTTGTAAATTATTCTGGATTGGGGTTCCTGTAAGGAGGAGGCGATTGCTTGCAGGAACAGCACGGGCACATATTGCCGACTTAGTAGATGAGCTCTTTATTTTATGTGCTTCATCAAGGATGACATAGTCCCACACAAATGCTTGGCCACTACAGCTGGCAAGCTGCTGCCAATTGTTGATTAACATTTGGTATGTAGTGATAACAACACCATTCCTTTGCTGAACCCGGTTGAGGCTTCTCGTACGTTCATCCTTGCTAGGGCCATGAAAGGTTTTGACTCTCATTCCTGGAGTCCACTTGGCAAATTCCTTTACCCACATGCTGATGAGATTCGTTGGCATGATTAACAGCACATGATTCACAAGTGAAGCATCAAACATACCAGAAAGGAAAGCAATGATCTGAACAGTCTTCCCCAGTCCCATGTCATCTGCCAAGATACCTCCTTTCCTTCCATCCCTGTACAAACTGTAGAGGAAAGCCACGCCTTCCTTCTGGTGCTCAAATAGTTGGTTGTACAGTTCTCGATAAAGCAGCAGGCCAGAGTTGCACACATCTATAAATTCATCATCATCTTCATGTTCTTCCAATTCCTCCAAAGCTTCCTGTAGTTTTTGGATTCTGCTCATCAGCTTTTCATTGGGAAAAATGTCCTTTGCCAAATTGAAAAGCTTAAGCGCTTCCTCCAGATCTCCATTCTTAGTTGCTTCTTTGGCTTCTTTCACGTATCTACAAAAAAGGTTAAAAAAATTATACACACAACATCAAAAGGAAATAGACTGAACATTTAGGCTAAGAAAGCTTTAGAGTCCATTAACGTAAATTGTAGCTGGCTTTTAACATCCAAAGAAAGCCATCACATGTAAAGATTTCTCCAAACTTAATAGAAAAACCATACAATCCAGTTAGGACATAGGCAAAAGACATGCACAGAAATTTCACTCAAGAGGAAATATACATGAGAAGATCACTAACATCACTTAGCCATTAAGGAAGTGTCAGTTAAAACCACACCAAGCTGGGCATGGTGATGCACACCTGTAATCCCAGCATATGGGAGGCTGAGGAAGGAGGATCATTGTGAGTTCAAGGCCAACATGGGCTACATAGTGAGTTCGAGGCCAGCCTGGGCTACATAGTGAGACCTTGTCTCTAAAACCACAATGAGCATTTAGGGTGTAGTTCAGTGGTAAAGCACTTACCTAGCATGTGTAAGACCCTTGGTTCAATCCTCAGGACTGGAAAAAAAAGGGGGTGTAGGGAGAGAAAAAAAGGAGGAGGAGGAGGAGGAGGAAAAGTAGTAGCAGCAGCAGCAAAAGAAGCTTCAATCACTTAAGACCAGCAAATAGGTACAGTGGCACAGGCCGGTAATGCCAGCAATGTAAGAGGCTGAGGAGAAGGATCTTGAGTTTAAGGCCAATCTAGGCTACATAGTGATTTCAAGGATAGTCTAAGACTAGATAGCAAGCCCCTGTCACAAAAACAAAACAAAACACAACAGAAAGAATTGACGCTTGCTTGGTGTAGAGGGTAACAACCCTGCACATCTGGGTCAGAAGTAATCAAGGTTGTGAGCATAGAGGAGAAACTGAGATCAAGTTATTGTATCTTCAGAAATTCTGCTAACTGCAAATACAGGCATACTGGAATTGGACAATTAAGTAAATGGATGGCAGGAGTCAGGTTTCTTATTAAAGGAGTCAGGTTTTTCGTTTTGTTTTTTCAGTAGTGAGAATTGAACTGAGGGCCTTTATGCTGAGCTATATCCTTAGGCTGTTTCTTCTTCTTTTTTTAAGGACAAAAGTATCAAAGTCTATGTGGCTAAACTGTCCAGGGTAGGCCTGAACTTTCCATCTTCCTGCTTTAACCACCCGAGTGCTGGGATTATAGGTATGCACCACCAAGGCTGGCTAGAATAGGGGTTTACAAATAGGCAAGGTGATTTTAATCCACAAAGTAACAGATCAGAGTTGGAGACATTAGTACAAACCCTGTTTAGCTCAACATAGATACAGATGATTATACAAAGATGTATTTATAGACACATAGATGCATGAGTTAGTATGGACACCTATTTCCTTGCAGTCACCCGGGAGGGTCTAAATGCAATGACACCCCAGTAGCAATAAGCAACTTCAGCACCTAGATCTTGGCTTTTAATATCATTCTCCAATAAAAGGATGCAGGGCTCCTTGGGAAAATGGCTGATTCTAGGACAGTGGCAGAAAATACACTGTGTAACATAAGCCTACAGTATCATAGTGCAAGGAAAGCAAATACTAAAAATAATTAAATTTAGAATGATGATAGTATGGTGAAAGGCACACGGGAGCAAATTAAATGATCTACTGCTCAAAATCTAGAACTATTTCAGCAACAAATAGTACTAAATAATTCAAAAGTATAAAAATACTCATGAGCCCATAATGATATAAATGAGTACATACATAAATATGAGAAAAGAGACAAATCTCTTGCATAGAAAAATGCCAAAAATAATTTATGGAAATACTCTGCCCTCACAAAGGTGGAACATATATTGCCAGGTGTGGTGGTGTACACCTATGATTCCAGCACTTAGGAAGCTGAGGCAGGAGAATCGCTGGGAATCCAAGGCCAGCATGGGCTACACTGCGAGCCCTGTGTCTCAGAAAATAAACAGTGGAGCACATAAGTCCTATTCTGTAAATGTGGGCTGCACACAGTGACATCCTAACAAAAAGCACAGTGTGGGAAGGTTCAGATGGGAGGAAAAGTAACTTTACAGTCAAGAAACTTGGCAAACAGTACCTCAGCCAGGTGATCCAGGTCAACATTAACAGAAGTTAACTCCCAATGAAGCATGTGGCCTTGTGTTATGACTTGTGTCTAGATGTCCCCCCAAACCCTCATGTGGTCACAGGTGGGGCTTTTTCAGAAGTGGCTGGGTCTAGAGTGAGTGATGCTAGAACTGACTCATGGTACAATGCTGGGATCAAGGGCACTAGGATTAAGGGTGTGAGTGCTACCTGCCCTAAGTAGGCGGGATAAAATATAGGATAGAAAAAGCTGTGGTCATCCCTTGTTGCTCTGCTACCTTCTGCCCACCATGAACTGTTTCTTCTCTATGATACCACCTTGCCTTGGAGCCAGCTGCTTATGGACTGAAACCTCTACAAATTGTGAACGAAATAAACTTTTACCCCTTTAACTCTGGGTGTCAGGTATTTTGTCTAAGCAATGAGACAAGTACTTCTCAAAATCAAAACCCCAGTCTAATCATGAGAAAGCCATCAGTCAATCCCAGTTGAGGGATATTCTACAAAATATGTGACCAGCGCTCCTCAAAATAGTCAAGGTTTTCGAAAACAAGGAAAAGTCAAAGAAACTATCAGGCAAAAGCAGGTTAGATCCCAGCACTCAGGAGGCTGAGGCAGGAGGATCGCTGTGAGTTCGAGACCAGCCTGGGCTACAAAGTAAGCTCAAGGCCAGCCTGAACTGCACAGCAAGACCCTGTCTCAAAAAAGACCAAAAAAAAAAAAAAAAAAACCCAAAAGCAGGTTAGATGAAGAACTGCAATGTGGTATGCTAGACGGGATGCCGTAATAGAAAAGGGCTGTTAGATAAAAACTAAAGAAATCTGAATAGTATGGCTTTAATTTAATGGTAATATATCAGTACTGGTTCATTAATTGTAGTTTCACATACCATGCTAATGTGAGATGCTAACCATAGGGGAAACTGAGAACTCTGTAATGTTTTTGAAGTTTTTTATAAATCTAAAAATATCCCAAAATAGGGGCCGAGGACTCAGCTCAATGGCACAGCACCTTCCTGGCAAGTGTGAGGTCCTGAATTCGATCCCTGGTACCCACCCCCAAAAATCTCAAAATAAAACACATCCATAGATCTGCCTGGTTATATATCTAGCTGTGATCTTCTTGAGAAGAGGGACAGGGATCAGGTCTTCCAGCAGACACCTGGTAAAAAGCAACTGAATGAGCAGATGACCAGAACAAAAACAAGGTCCTGCTGGCTCCAAAACTCTGCCTTCTGCTGGAGGGCAGCTGCCCTCCCTCCCTGCCCTACTTTGGCAGCCTTTAGAATGAAGTCACATTCTCTCTTGCTGCCTGTGGTGACCGCTGGACTCCTCTGCCTAAGTGCCAGACCTGGAACCCCAGCCGTTACTCTCTCACTCCCTCTCAGCCTGGTTCCACCACCCAGAGTGCTTCATCTACAAAACTTCTTCCTTGGTCTATGCCCTAGAGGCTCAAAGGAGAAAGTATGCCATTTTTTACTGTTAGACTGTGGCATTTCCATGTTCCTGAACTGGCACCTGGCCCTCACTACTCAGCATCCTGAGCTCCTGTGAAGCATGGGGTTCTAACTCTAGCCAGACCTCTTCCTTGAAGGTGAAAGTATTGTCCCTAAACCCTAGCTCTGGGTCAGAGTCTCTACTCATCATATACCAACCTTTTAAATGGCAACCTTCTGCCTAGACTTCTTACCACCAGCCTGATTCCTTGGGCAGGGTTCTATCTACCCTCTAGAACTCACTTGTCAATCTTCTGCCAGAAGCACAAATTGGAATTTGCAGTATCCCTTGGACACCAGTGTTTTCTGGCTGATTCAAACCCCTGCAATCAGCTAAGCTGCCTTCCCAGCGTTTGGATCACCCTAGTTAGCAGGTCTAAGACATGTCCGCATCTCAGCTCTCCCACTCCATTCGTTCTCCTGGGTGTACCTACACAGGACTGTAGGTATTCTTTCTCTATAATGGAAATGGAGAGGGGATAAAATCTGGTTTTTATGATACTACTACAGACAATGGGCTATTTGCTTTTTGTAATACAGTTTGACTTAACCACCTCCCCTCTAATCACTTCCATCTTCCAGATCCTGGAAGGAAAACTCTATGGCTTTTTTATTATCAATGTAATCATATATTCACCTATAACACATAGGATCCCTAAAATGATCTGGAGAACTTACTGGGCTCAAATTTTTTTTTCCAAAATTGCTCCCCAGCTTTCCTGGATGCGGCTGGGCCTGCTTGGGAGGTAAGAGACTAAGGGAGGAGAAACTCCTCCAAGGGAAAGTGCCACACCTCTCAAACAGAGGAAAGAAACAGCGATAGGCTGTGGGGTAGGGGAAGATGTCAGTTTTTAAGTTCTAGGGCAAAAATCTTTATATTTTAATGACTGTACTGCCAATTGCATGCCTAGAGCATGGTCTCTCCTTTAAGGACTGTTTTAGCACATCCTTGCCACCCCGAACCACCAATGGTACATGGATGGCTGTCCCATCAGACGGCTTGCACCACTGGTTGTACACACAGATCTAATCACTTGAGGCAGGAGGATCGCTGAGAGTTCGAGGCCAGCCTGTGTTACATAGTAAGTCCAAGGTCAGCCTGAACTGCATAGTGAGACCCTGTCTCAAAAAAAGTATTAAAAAAAATTACAATAATCAACAAATTTATTTCATTAAATTAAACTTATTTATATTCACAAAAATAATTCTCTAAATTTTAACATGGAAACTTTACACCCCATTGCTGTTGTGTACATAATTAATATGCATTTACAACTGCTGTAACACAAATCAACTACATTACACTTTTTTTACACCGTTTTAGTGTTTTCCTTAAGGAACTGTGACATAGTATGATAATGTTATGGAAAACAGGACGGCAGGAATCTTCAGGTGGCGCAAGGAACCCACCGGGCACTTAAAGAGGTGGAGAAAGC